GCCCCGCACCGTTTTGGTGCCCAACCTTTGAGGTCGAGATGAACGAGTTTCACCATGTTCGCCGCCTGCCGCCTTATGTATTTGAGCAGGTCAATCAGCTCAAGGCGAAGGCGCGCGCGAACGGTGCCGATATCGTCGACCTTGGGATGGGTAATCCGGATTTGCCGACGCCCGAGCACATCAACGAAAAGCTGATCGAAACCGTTGGCAAGCCGCGCACCAATCGCTACTCCGCCTCGCGCGGGATCACCGGCCTGCGCCGAGCACAAGCCGGCTACTATGAGCGCCGCTTTGGTGTGAAGCTGAACCCGGATACCGAAGTTGTCGCAACGCTTGGGTCCAAAGAGGGCTTTGCCAACATGGCGCAGGCCATCACCGCGCCTGGCGATGTGATCCTGGTGCCCAACCCCAGCTATCCCATTCATGCGTTCGGATTTTTGATGGCAGGCGCAGCGGTGCGCTCTGTGCCGTGCGAACCTGGCCCTGAATTCTTTCATGCGCTCGAACGCGCTGTTCAGCACTCGATTCCAAAGCCTCTGGCGTTGGTGCTTTGCTATCCATCGAACCCAACGGCGCATGTAGCCGATCTCGATTTCTATAAGGATGTGGTGTCGTTCGCCCGCAAGAACGATCTGATCGTCCTCTCTGATCTGGCCTACTCAGAAGNGCCATCGATCCTTCAGGTCAAGGGCGCCAAAGACGTGGCTGTGGAGTTCACGTCCATGTCAAAGACCTACTCGATGGCCGGGTGGCGCATGGGCTTTGCCGTGGGCAATGAGCGCCTGATCGCGGCCTTGGCGAGGGTGAAATCCTATCTTGATTACGGCGCTTTCACGCCGATCCAAGTGGCAGCCACCGCCGCGCTCAACGGACCGCAGGACTGTGTCGACGATATGCGCGCCACCTATCAGGGGCGTCGTGACGTGCTGGTGGACAGTTTTGCGCGGGCAGGGTGGGACATCCCATCACCGGCGGCATCGATGTTTGCGTGGGCACCAATTCCGGACAAGTTCAAGCATCTTGGCAGCCTGGAATTCTCAAAACTTCTCATTGAGAAGGCCGATTTTGCGGTCGCACCAGGTGTCGGTTTCGGCGAGCATGGCGATGACTATGTGCGCATCGCGCTTGTGGAGAACAAAGACCGCATTCGCCAAGCTGCACGNCCTCTTATTGGCGGGCAACCCGCCAGCTTGGACGTACCGCGCATGACTCTACCATCCAGCGACAGCCCACTGCGTGTGGGCGTTGCAGGGCTCGGCACCGTTGGTGCCGCGCTCGCTCACCTGCTTTTGACCCGTACTCAGGAACTCAGCGCAGAAGGCGCTCGTCCGCTGCGGCTCACCGCTGTATCAGCGCGCGATGCTTCCAAAGATCGTGGTTTTGACGCTTCTGGCCTAACGTTTCATGCCGATGTCGCTGATCTGGCGCGCGATCCCAATGTTGATTTGGTGGTCGAACTGATTGGCGGAGAGGATGGCGCTGCCAAATCCGTGGTGGAAGCCGCACTGGAAAGCGGTAAGCCTGTCATCACCGCCAACAAAGCGCTGCTTGCCGCGCACGGCCTCCACTTGGCGGCGCTGGCCGAAAAATCCTCTGTTCCGTTGCTTTTTGAAGCTGCTGTTGCTGGCGGCATCCCTGCCATCCGTGCGCTGCGCGATGCGGTGCCGGGCCAAAAAGTAACCCGCGTGTCTGG